GCTGATTGTGCCGTGACCTTTGCAGATCGCCGGTCAAACCTTGGAACTGCTCCTTTATGGAAATTGTGTTCTTCTTGGGTGAAAAGGCTCTGAGGCAGGCCTTCCACAGGATGCTGACCCTTCTTGGCCTCCAGGCGGCAAGCGCCTGGCCAAATCAAGGGTTGAACTCCTTTCGGCGACTTTTTCTCTTTTTTTTTTTTTTTTGAGACAGAGTCTTGCGTTTGGTCAAGCCCGGGCTGGAGTGGTTAGTGCACGGATCTTGCGTTCACTGCACCTCGCGGCCTCCAGGTTTCAAGGCGGATCTCCTGCCTGGCCTTCCTTGAGTTAGCTGGGATTTACAGGCGGCCACCCACGCCTGGGTAACTTTTTATTGTTTTTGCCAGTGAGACAGGTCACCATGTTGGTCGATGTTTTTGTCGACTTCCCTGGACCTTGTTGATCCACCCGCCTCGGTCTTCCAAAGTACTGGGATTACAGGTGTGAGCCACCGCGCCTGGCCAGCACTTTCTTGTTTAAGGAACACTGACACAGAGTGGCAAAAAATTTCTCTGAAGGTAAATTTTATGTTATGTGAATGTTATGGGTTGATTTGTGTCCTCCTAAAAAGACATGTTGAAGGATTAAAACCCAGCACACCTCAGAATGTGACCTTATTTGGAAACAGGGTCATTGCAGATATAATTAGTTAAGATGAAGCCATACTGGAATAGGGCGGGCCCCAATCCCATACAACTGGTGACCTTAAAAAAAGATGGCCAGCCAGGCGTGGTGGCTCACGCCTGTAATCTCAGCATTTTGGGAGGCCGAGGCGGGCAGATCATGAGGTCAGGAGAGCGAGACCATCCTGGCTAACACAGTGAAACCCCGTCTGTACTAAAAATACAAAAAATTAGCCGGGCGTGGTGGTGGACGCCTGTAGTCCCAGCTACTCTGGAGGCTGAGGCAGGTGAATTGCTTGAACCTGGGAGGCGGAGCTTGCAGTGAGCCGAGATTGTGCCACTGTACACCAGCCTGGGCGACAGAGCAAGACTCTGTATAAAAAAAAACAAAAACAAAAGATGGCCATGTAAAGACACAGAGACACAGAAAAGGTGGCCCTGGGAAGATGGAGGCAGAGACTGGGGAGATGCATCTACAAGCCAGGCAATGCCAAGGGCTGCTGGCCACCACCAGACCCCAGTAGAGAGGCATGGGACAGATTCTCCCAGAGGCCTCGGAAGGCACCAATCCTGCTGACACCTTGATTTGGGACTTCTGGCCTCCAGAACTGTGAGAGAATAAACTCCTGTTGTTTTAAGCCACCCAATTTGTAGTGCTTTCTTTTTTTTGTTTGAGACAGAGTCTCGCTCTGTCACCCAGGCTGGCATGCAGTGGCATGGTCTTGGCTCACTGCAACCTCCGCCTTCTGGGTTCCAGTGATTCTGCTGTCTCAGCCTCCCGAGTAGCTAGGATTACAGGCGCCTGCCACTACGCCCGGCTAATTTTTTGTATTTTAAGTAGAGATGGGGTTCCACTGTGTTAGCCAGGATGGTCTCTATCTCCTGACCTCGTGATCTGCCCACCTTGGCCTCCCAAAGTGCTGGGATTACAGGTGTGAGCCACTGTGCCCAGCCTGTAGTGCTTTCTTACAGTAGCAGTAGGAAATAAACACAGTAATTTCTCTTAATTAAAAAAAAGCAACTTTGACTTTCCCCAAGGAAACCACCACCACCGCCATCACCACCCTGGAAGTCACTCTTGAGAAAACGCTTTTCTTTTTTTTTTCTTGCTCTGTCACCCAGGCTGGATGAGTGCAGCAGTGTTATCATGGCTCACTGCAGCCTCGAACTCCTAGTCTCAAGCCATCCTGTGCCTCAGTCTCCTGAGTAGCTAGGACTACAGGTGCATGCCATCACAGGCAGCTAATTAATTTTTTTTTTTGTACAGACAAGGTCTCCTTATGGTCTGGTCCATAAAGCTGGTCTCAAGCTGGTCTCAAGCTTCTGGCCTCAAGCTGTCCTCCTGCCTCAGCCTCCCAAAGTGCTGGGATTATAGATGTGAGCCATTGTGCCCAGCCAAATAAAGGTTTTTGCCTAAATCCAAAACCGACATCTCCAAAGATGTTCTTGTCTAAAATTGTAAGAAAGTTGGCAGATGCCAGCAACTACTGTTGAAACTTGTGGAGAGCTTGATTACCTTTCTCTAATGAAGTGGATAATCAAAAGAGCTATCATTTATTAAGCAGTTACCTTTTATCAGGCTCTTGCTAAGCAATGTACATGCATCCTATCTTCTGAAATGCTCACAACTTCAGGTATTATCATTTAGCCCTATTTTATAGGCTTGTCAACTTGTCAACATCACAGAACAGTGAGTGGCAGGGCCAGGTCTGCCCCAGGGTCTGGCTGACAGACAAGCTGTTCAGATGGACGTCCCAGGACAGGGGACTGAGGCCCCAAGACAAGGCAGGGACCAATGCCATCAATCTCATTTCAGGAGCCCCCACCAACAAGCTATCCTCTTACCGCTGCCTCGAAGCCTTTCAAATTGGGGATCAGGACTGGGTAGGTGATGCCAGGAAACTTCTGAATGCCCTTCAAGACTTCAGCATGGTCAGCCATCTAGGAACCAAGGGAGACACTGTCAAGCCATCACCAAGAGCAGGCAGAGAGTTCAGTTAGAGAAAACCTTTTCATCACAAAGCCTCTGATCTCCAGAACTCTTAGAGAGTAATTCCTTCTGCAGAGCTGAGTCTCTCCAGTACTCTCACTGTTTGACTGCTGCTGAGTCCCAAGGGCCCGTGGTCTGGGTGAGATCCCAGTTTCTGCATAGGGCCCATACTGCCAGCTTTACATATGCAGAAACAGCAGGAATACTACTACCAGCCATTTATTGAGAACGTACTCTGGGCCAGGCACTGAGCTCAGCTCTGTGTTAAACACTCCTTTGTAACAGGATGTATCTTCTCCACTTAACTATCTTTGTGAAGCAGTTGTCGTCAGTCTTCCTCTTTTACAAACAAAGAAACCACAGACAGGCAGAGAGGGTCTTAGACTTTAGGGCTAGAAGAGGTCATCTCTAATATCGAGGAGGGGAAAGGCCTTAGCAATGTCACTGAGCAAGTCAGATGAGCACAGTCAAGACTGAACCCAAGGCCCTGAATCCTGGGCCATGTTCTTTTGCTGCAACACAGTGCTATGAATCACCTGAGACCTCTCAAAGCCAGGGGCTTGGAAACCTATGTTCTTGACTTCTACTTGCTTCAAAGGCAAATGCAAAACTTTTCATCCCTGGAGAAAGGCCTCTCATTGAGGGCTAGGGCTCACCTGGGGAACCCACTTAGGAGACACAAAGCTGGTGGCTTCTATAACAGAGAGTCCTGCTTCAGAAAGCATGTCTATCAGCTTGATTTTCACTGGAGTAGATACGATATTCTATAGTGGAGAAACACCAGGTCAGCAAAGTTAGTATTAAAACAGCCTTAGAATGCAGTACCCATTAGTTCAAATACTATAGATAATTTTTTGCAGTGAATGCAGCTTCTCACCTGAAAAAGAGTTATTTACATGGAAACATTATTCTGCCATGCAGGCTTTCCCATAAGTAAATGTGTGTTAATTTATAATCCCATCATAAACAAATTGAGAGCAATGTGTGACAGCCTGAAAGGGCAGAGATGACTAACCCTCTGGGGGGTATGGGATGGGGCCCCGAAAGTATCACACCCTCCTCTCTTCTGTCTCCCAACTGGCATAGGACTTCAGCCTCATGTGTTCAGCGTACAGCTTCTTTATCTTCCTCCCCACCATGTCCAGTAGCTCACCAGATTCTACGGATTCCTCTTTCCAAATCTACCATCATTATTCTGTATATAACATGGCATGGTCTCATGCCACTAATTCATCCTACACAGGAATCCTCCTAAAATGCAGCTTCCTGGCCGGGCGGGTCAGGCTGGAGTGCTAGCGGCGATTCAAGTCTTTGACGCAGCTTGTCAATCTCTGTCCGCCTGTCGCGGTTCAATTGCGAATCTCCTGCCGTCAGCCTCTCAGATGTATCTGGTATACATTGTCACATTGCCTACCACCGTACGGTGCTCATTTATTGAGTAGATTTGAGTGGTGTTTTAACATGTTGTACAGGCTGGGGTCTCAAATCTTTGATCCTCAGTTGACCGCGTCTGCACCCATTTCAATAGTGTCTAGCCCATCACCAGTTTTAAAGTTGGCACTCCTTTTGTTCCAGGCTTGCTAGGTTGCCCAGGGATATTATTGTTGCAACAACACATCTCGGACATACACCTTGTTGGGTTCCAAAGCGTAGAGCACTTCATACACACTAAGGCCTGAAGATGGACGTGCT